GAACAAGTTCGACGATTCAATACTGATTTTTCTAATTCCCTAAAAAAGATCAAAACCTAGTCAAACATTATATAAGAAAGTCAAATAATGCTAAAGAAAATATCCCCAATTAATAAATATTCAATACTTAATGAAATCCCAAAAGTCAAATTGGGGTTTTGTCACGATTCAAATTTTCCACCGTCGGGATCGTGATGGCGCCTAACATTGTACTCGCCAGGCAAGCCAATGGTACAAAATATTTCACCTTTTCCTTTATCTTTTAGTAATTAAAACTTAACAAAGGAGATCAACGGAAATAAATGCGGAAGAACGCAATTTAAAAGATTTTCTTTATACCAATAGTGAAAACCGAAATAAATTCCACCCAAAAACTGGTGTCACAACTCAAGAACAGTATACGAATACGACAAGTATTGGTTTGAAAGGAAAATATACATCTGCCTCGGAGAAAAGCAAAACAGAATGCAGTAAAGATAGAAAGGGGATGCCAGAGCCTGCAGACGTTTGTAGGACTACCTTGGGTCTCTGAAAGCAGTGATAGCGACCAACCACTCGATTAGCCACTAGCTCCGAAATCTGCACAGAAAGTGCAGGGTGCAGTATCAGTACAACCGACCGCATGTACTGGTAAGTGCCGAGCCTAACCTCGACGAAGTAGTGACGATGCTATGGCGGGGCATACAACATATACAACCTGCAACAATTTATACTAAACAGAAAGGAAATACATAATTAATAAAGCAATACCTAGCATTAAGTAAATTCGGAACCCAGTGGTTCTACTAGTATTCGGCTATAACCAATCTTTAAGGGTGTTTCAACATCACGGTAATGGACCTCAACAGAAATGAATACATAACAACAACTGATGCGGCGTGCATCCCGATCCCATCATATGAACAACAACAATATCAATATTCACCCTTATTACTCCTTGTTGCGGCGTGCAACCCGATCCCACCAGTCCACCCTTATTACTCCTCAATATATCACCCTTATTCCTGCTGTTGCGGCGCGCAACCCGATCCCACCTGTCCACCCTTATTACTCCTTGTTGCGACGTGCAACCCGATCCCAATATATATATATATATGCAAAAGTGTTTCAAAATCAACTCAAATCCTCCACAGCACTTATTCCTCAAACCAATACAATGGAATATCACTACAACTGTAAAACTTCACCAGTTAAACTATACAACGAGACCAACCTAAGTATACGATGAAGCACCAATAACCAACATAATCCAACAATGTAATAAAAATGAAGCTACGAAACAAATAGTACTTCAATAGGAAAATCAACAATTAACATGAAATAATTAGGCATATAGGCATCGATAAACAAGTAGCAATTAAGGCAGGAAAGCATGATATAGGGGAACGAGGAAAGGAAACAGGCTACACAAGTAATTTGGCAACGCATAGGTGCTCGTCACCACACCTATATGCCACACACATGGTATTTCGCATAGTAAACAAGTCGGGGATCTCTAATCCCTCAAGTCAAGGTTAGACCAAACACTTACCTCAAGCCAACGGGCATTTTCAAAGCTCAATCGCCGCTTAACCTCTCGATTCCACCACCAATTCACGCGTATCTACCCATATTTAACTTAATAACATCAATAAACGCTAAAGAAACCAATTTCAATGCATAATCAAAGATTTCCCAACATTTTTCCCAAAAGTCAAAAATTGACCCCGGACCCGCTTGGTCAAAACTCGAAGTTCAGACCAAGACCCGATTACCCAGTCACCCCAAGCCCGGATATACAATTGGTTTTGGAATCCGACCTCAATTTGAGGTCTAACGCCCCAAATTTTGAAATTCCCAAATTTCACCCAAAAACACCCAATTTCCCATGAAAATCCCTAGATTTTGTGATGAAATCTTGTAAAAAGATGAAATAGATTAAAAGAAATGAGTTAGAAGTCGTTTACCTATGATTTGGGGAAGAACTCTTCTTTGGAAAATCGCCTATGGGAGCTTAGGATTTGAAAATTTGAGAAAATGAGTTGAAATCCCGTTTAAGTTATGTTTTACACAGTTGCAGGTATCGCATTTGTGATCACAGGTTCGCAAATGAGACTAATACTTCGCAAATGCGAAGCTTGGCCTGACCTGTTGCCTTCGCAAATGCGGCTACTGTTCAAGTCGCAATTGCGATAGTGAACTTCGCAAATGCAAATGTCCCCCTCCCTGCCCTCTGTCGCAAATGCGATAGAACTTCGCAAATGCGATGCTCGCATTTGCGAGCCAGACTTCGCAATTGTGAAGTCTGTAGATCTGCAACACACCAGCAAATTCCTTAAGTCTCAAAACACTCCGTAGCCTATCCAAAATTCACCCGAGCCCTCGGGGCTCCAAACCAACCATGCACACAAGTTTTAAAACATCATACGAACTTGCTCGCGCGATCAAATCGCCAAAATAACATCTAGAACTATGAATTCAACACCAAAACTCATGAAATATTCAAAATAGTTCAAACTTTCTAATTTCTCAACCAATGGTCCGAATCACGTCAAATCACTTTCGTTTTTCATAAAAATTCACAGATAAGGCTTAAATATTATAACGGAGCTCTACCGGGCTCCGGAACCAAGATACGGGCCTAATACCAACAATATCAAACATTATTCAATTTCCAAAAACCATCATATTTTTCAGTTAACAATTTTCTTCAAAAATTCATTTCTCGGGCTAGGGACCTCGGAATTCAATTTCGGGCATACGCCCAAGTCCCAAATTTTAGTACAGACCCTCCGGGACCGTTGAAACACGTGTCCGGGTTCGTTTACCAAAAATATTGACCGAAGTCAACTAAAATCATCTTTTTAAGCCAAAATCATCTTTTCTTAAATTTTTCACATGAAAGCTTTTCGGATACCCGCCCGGGCTACGCACGCAAATCGAGGAGAAATAAAATGAAGTTTTCAAGGCCTCAAAACACGGATCGAATTCTAAAATCATAATGGCTCATGACTTGTATTACCAGTCCTTGGGGTAGTTGTATTGAATTCTTTTGTAGTTTTAGTAATAATATTGACGATTTCTCATTATTGCAGTGACTTATACTGTTTGGCTTACCTAGCGGGTTGGATTAGGTGCCATCACGGCTTAGTGGAATTTTGGGTCATGACAAAACCAAAGCTAGGCAAGACACTACCTCATTCCGGAATAAATTCAACAATTCAATACCGCTTTTCCTTAGAAATTTCCCTCAAGACAATCAAAACCCAATTAAATATTGTCTAAGGAAGTCAAATAATGCTAAAGAAAATATCTCCAATTAATAAATGTTCAATCTTTGAGGAAATACCAAAAGTCAAGAAAAAGTTAACCCGAGCCTACATGGTCTAAATCCGAAACCAAGACTAAATCGAGATGACCCATTCTCCTGAGTCTAAATATATATTACTTTCAAGACCCGACCTCAAATTGAGGTCCAAATTCCCAAAATTAGCTCACTTAAGTTCAAGTCCAAAACCCAAGTTCTACACATTAAAAGTCCTTGATTTAGGGTGAAAATGTATGGAAAAATTATGGAAATAAATCAAAATCAAGTTAAAATTACTAACCTTAGAAGTGAGGATGAAAAATTCTTAAAAGTTGGATCTACTCAAAGTCTAGATCTAAAAAATGAAAGAAAATGAGCTAAAACTCGAAGTCTCTTACCCTTACCAGCCCTCAGATGTCGTAGGTGCGAGAAAAGCCTCGTAGAAGCTACACCGCAAGCACGACCAAATAGCTCGCAGATGCGAGCATGCATCAGTGCAGATATCGCGGGTACGACAATACCTTCACATATGCGGCCCATGCATCCGCGACAAAAGACCTAGAGATGCGATCATCCCCAGCGCTAAGCCTCTTTGCAAATGGAACTAGCATCGCAGATGCAGCTCCGCACCTGCGCAACTTACCATCGCAGATGCGCCAAGTCGCCAGGCTCCCCTTACTCGCAGATGCGAGCCAACCTTCTGCGGAATCGGCCTCACACTTGCGCACCTGATAATCACAGGTGCGATTTGAGCAGTCCAGCAACAGTAAATCACATCCAAAAATGCACGAAACCAATCCGAAACTCACACGAACCCGTCGGGACCCCAATCATCCCAAGAAATTTATATACCTAACATGAACTTGTCTGAAGGCTCAAAACACAAAAAATAACATCAAACAAGGATTCAACCATCAAATCAAGAATTTCAAAGGTTATAGAGTTCAAATTTCTAACTTCCGACAAGAAGCACAAAAATGACGGGTCATCCGAGATCCAAACCAAACATACGTATAAGTCCAAAACCCTCCTACAAAGCTAATAGAACCATCAAATCACCAATCCAAGGTTGTTTACTCAAAAGTCAACCATTAGTTAACTCCAACAACTTAAAGTTTCCAAAATAAGTATTCTTCTTCCAAAATTCTCCCAAACCTCTCGGTAATCAATACCAACTATAGATGCAAGTCATAAAACATCAAATGGACCTACTCAAAGTCTCGAATCACAAAACGGAACGTTAGAACTCAAAACGACCGATCAGGTCATGTCATTACAAGTCAGATGGGAATGTGTTAGGACTCGATAATAGGGACTTGGTCAAGCTCAATTTCTGACCTAATGTACCGATGAGGATGTCGTTGAAGTGGTTGAAAGCTAATTCTCGTACATTCTCAACTGTGATTGAGTCAAACTCCCTTTCTGCTGATCACTTCACTCTCCATCTCCCACTATTAATCTCAGTTGTCACAGGCCACAAGATGAAAACCTTTTTTCATTTTACAAGAATAGTGAATTATTCACCTCTTTGGTGACTTGGATCACATTATCTACAACTTTTGATCGCTTGTCCTCCAGCTATGTTGCTTGCTGTGGGTGTGAGTCCATGGAGATGGTTTATGCTCATATCAATTTACACAACTCTCTAAATTGGACTAAGAAATAAGACTTTCCCAGTCAGAACTCTCCTTCATGAGTTACTGTAGAGAATGCAATCAGTAAAGAAATTTTATTCAAGATGATCAGTTCAGTTGGTCATTTACAGGCAAAATATTACTTCTAGATAGAATTTACTAAACTATACAGCTATTCCCTTCTTTTCAATGGGAAATGTAAAGAAAGAAAGAGATGAGAAGAGAAGTAAGGAAAACCTTCGGATGAACTAAATTCACACTATTGGAAACAAGCCTATGAAAAATACAGTATAGGATAACCCCGATCAAAAATACAAGGGAAAATCACTAAAGAAAATTTCAGCGACAATATAGATTTATACAACATTAAACACATTTTGGTTGTAGCCAAGCTTTTGGTCGCTCGAGTATATGATGTTCATCCCTGAGAGATGATCACAGTCTAGTCTAGTGGATTATCTGTGTTACATACTTTCTTTAGCACGATGCAGTCTTATTTGTTGTATCTCTTCTCTTCCCAAGTTGTATTCTAGCAGTTTCTCCATTAATGGAATAATCATCTGTTAGAAGGAAACAGATAACAAGCTAACTGTCAATTTGTTGAGAAAAACAAGAAGCATTAATTTATTAGACTAATATGATTAAGGCTATTAAATAAAGGGTGTGCAAGAATGTTAATATAGACGATGTTAACTCACCTACTGTCAAGGTTGATAGCAAGTTGTTTGCAGAAGCTTCAAGTCTTACTCTCCAGTTTCAAGAAGAATCTCAGGATGTATAGCAGCGCTGTTAACATTTAGAACTCTCTGTAGCTTTCTGTGGTCAAATATTTCCACTTGTACTGAGAACATTGAACTTACAGGCCGATGATCTGACAGTCTTAGTTCTGCTCGCTTGTAGAAGAGCTGTTTTATACCATTTCCAAACCAGAGTATACGATCACACCTGCATGATGCGAAGAAAGAATCCTCAGTTGAATGTTGATGATTAGCTAAAGTTGTTCATTCTTTTCACTTACCATGCTGGTGATCTCTTCTTTTCCCCTTCTCTCGGAATTTCTCCATTGTATCTATCACTGTTGATTTCATACTTGTAAGTTGGTGCAAAGTTAATCAACCCTTCCTTCCAACCAGCAAAGACATGTCCATTTCGGAGCTCTTTGCTTAACTGTCCATATGATGAAATACTGTTTGTTACTGCAACTTTGCATAAAAATCAAACTGTCCAAGATGCCTCTAGTATGACTACTACCAAAATTTAATCATCTAACCTTTAAGATTTCCCTTCTGAAAATGATTCAGTTGGTTTTAATGATTTTTATTTACGACTCACCTGATCACTATTCAGAAGTTCATTCCACTGCTTTTTTGCGATATGCTTCCGTACCTCAGCATCTACCATACTGATTCGATAATTTAAATCTCCAAACCAGAATATCTGACTGTAGATAGATATTAAAGAAAGGTCATATGTATTAATATAGCCTCTTAACAGTTTGAAATGGTAAATGCAACTTTCATTACAACTCTAGTTTTACTTTTTCTGAATAACAACAGTTTTGGATATTCAATATGAATATTTCTTGTGTAACAATTAAGCCAGCCTGCTAGTGGTATTGTCTGCTGTGGGCCTAGACCCTCACGATTTAAAACGTGTCACTAGGGTCTAGGTAAGGCTGACACAAGAGTGACTCTGATACCATCTGTAACAAGCCAGTCCACTAGTGATATTGTCTACTCAGGACCTAGGTATCAGAGCCATTCTTGAGTCAGCCTTGCCGATAGTGAGTCAGAGTTCAACTGAGTTTATGCAAATCCCAGTTAGGCAGGGCAAACCTTAGTGCTGAGTCAAGGCGACTGAGCCCATAAGAGGGGTGTATGTAACACCTCAGACTTTAGACAGAGTCCCACATTTCGTATATAAGTTAACAAACCATAGACCCTAGTGACGCGTTTTAAACCCGTGAGGGCCTAGGCTCAAAGCGGACAATATCACTAGCGGGCTGGGCTGTTACATCTTGTCCCATTTTTTCCAAAGTATTGCATCTAATTAGCTCAATAGATTTTGAGCTTTGACAATTAAGATTTTTTTTTTTCTTCAGATAGCTAAGTCGTTCACGGACAAGCAATTTTGGTACTTCATAGAGGCGCTGACTATATAATGAAGGTTCATATTATTAGTAGTTGCCGAATTAACATCTCTAAAGATGAAATACTGAAATGATCTAAAAGTATTATCAGCAAATTTGGAACATAATCAGCTGTACATTTTGTAAATAGAATAACTATAGAAAGCAAGGAACCAGAAACTGATCTGATTTTATGTCTTTTTACTTGTGTGCGTGCATGATAAAATTAAAGCTCATGTTATATCAGTAAGCATGAAAATTATCTTCAAAATTTTTGTATTCAAACAGTCAACTCTTCCAACAAATAAAACTGCTCTTTCTTCTGTGAAGAGATCGAAGAGCCATGTGTCTATATAAGAAATAATATATATGTACCCGAGAATATGATGTGAACTCCTAAAGTGTCAACTTGAATACTTACTCATGAGATGGAATTGTTTGTGGTTCATCTGCATCTGTGTGAAATATGGATGAGAAACGAGTACGCCTCATGATTTCATTGACATCAGAGTTACGCCTTTGCTCAGCTCCATCCTTTTGACCAGATGACAAATGAGAACAAACAAAGCATAGCCGTGACTGGAAAAGAGACATGCTCACAGAAACAGATCCCTGTATATATAGCACCATCCATTAGTCAGTTGTTATTTGTATTCAAAGGGGGTAGCTTTGATTGGATTATGAATCATAATTTCAACGGATTGCCTTAGCTGATTGAAAAGGATCTACCAAGCATCAATTTCTTCTATAAAGTTAAATTGTACTTTCTAATATATGGTATGTGTGATACAATGAATATCTGTAGACTGAAAGAAGAAGTTATACCTTATTGCCCATGTACCCCATTAGTCCAATACCAACAGACGAGACTTGCAAGTTGTTTATGTGCCTCCTCAATCTTCTACGTACCCAAACTGATACATATATACCAACCATCTGCTTGCTCACAATACGAACATACATTCGACGTGTATGATTTAGAAGTGAACTTTCTTCTTTGTTGACCTCTGGAAATTCTTCACACAAGTCATTTTCCTCGTCAGGAAATTGATCAGAAAGAGAATCAACAAGATCTTGTTGATCCATCCACATTAATCCTAAGTTTCCTGAGCTTTGGTGCACCCTCTTTAACCCTCTGCCATCAAAAGCAAGAGGGTTGTCTATGCTACCAAAACCAACTCTCGCGCAACTACTCAAGACTCTCCTCAACTTGAAACTAGAAGAAAGAACTTGAGGTGTTGCATCAAGTGAACGTTCAGGCCAATCCAATCTACTATCACAATCAGTGCCATAGAAATGTATACTCTCTCCTAGGTTGTTTTCTCGAAACGAAGTTGTGTCCAGTGATGCATCTGCCATCATATCCAGTGCAGGAGTATCAACAACATCAGCAATTATGTCAGCAGCAGAAGAAGTCCTTAAAACTGGAGATGGTGGAGCACTATAACTCTTGATCGTAGTTTCAGGTTCTTGTGTCCTGTTTAATGTTCTTCGGATGATGGCTTCCCATTTAGGAACAGGTCTTCTATTTTCTGCTCCAAGTACATTTCCAGCACTCAGTGGGACCACCTCTTGGAAGCTGTAACCAAATGCAATATAGGTTTGAACTCATTTCTAATAAAGAAGATAGAAGGAGCAAATAGAAATAGATTTACCCAAGAATATAGATATCTGCAGGTTCTTGCATATGAATCCATTCATCAATGTCTAGATCCTCATCTGGAAGTCTTCCAGCCACATTCCAAGTACCTACTGTAACTCTGCAGAAAATCAGGGCTTATGTAAATCATCTCCAATTTGATTTTGATTTCAGGTCCCAAAAGAAATGCAAACTAACCTCACTTCTTTCTTGTTAATATACTCAACTCTCAACGTTTCTGATTTCCCTCTCCTGTGTCTTGGTTTCCCTGAGCAATACAATTCAGTTTGAGTCTCGCATTCATTAAGCTTCCCCCGTTTTCTATGTCCATGATCTTCAACCACCCTGAGAGACCAACCTGGAATTTTGGCAAGAAAACAACTAATCAAGCCTAGAACAAACAAACACCAAGAAAAAGATTTTCATGAATAATTTGGATACCATCATCCTCACTCTCCGTTTCAGTGTCAACTTCATCTTCACTGAAATCATACACTTTAGGAGCAATATTAAGCCATTTCTTCATCACAATGGAGGGCCAAAAGGCCTGCACCATACAATTGCCTCAGTTTACCATTGAAAGGAAATAAACAGAGTCAACAGACCATGAAAAAAATACCTGAGATCTCCTTCCTCTTCTGGCTTTCATTAGCATAACGCAAATGAACAAAGGCAGTGTCAATTTGTTCCCAAGAATGCCAACAGTGGCACAAAGGGTTAGACTGTTTGCAAGTGTTGTTGGACTTTAATACTATCTATTTAAATAGGTTGTCAATGGTCAGAGTTCTTTCCCCGGATGCCAAATACAAATGGAAACGACAGAAAGTATTAACAGATATATGCTGTACTCAACTTGTATTAAAAAAAGAAAAAAAGAAATCTTGAATGGTCCTCAATTGAAAACTGAAGTAAACACAAATTAAAAAAATATATAAAATATTCAGGGAAGTCATTTTCAATCACAAGAAATCTCCAGAAACTAGAACTTGACTAATGCTTGCTCTCCTAATAAATATAAGCCATTGACACCAATAGTTTAGGACAGATTTTATACTACTAAAATATTCCAAATGCAAATCAGCTGCTTTATTGCATGGTTGTAACTACAAGACAAAAGTTACAAAATTCAGAATCATACTGACCATATTTATGGATATATTTTTTTAAAAGAAGATTAGGATCTAGTAAAAGAAAAGGTAGTTGATCTCTTGTTTAATTAAGGCCATATTCTAATCCAATGTTGAGTGATCAAGCTACAGATCTTGGCTCCTCACTGCTCCTAGAGCTAAAATTAGCTTGACCAACCAATGATAGTTATGCTGCCTACCCCCACCCCCACCCCCGCCCCCACCCCCACAAAAAAAAAATAGTGACTAAGTTAGGGATAGCTCTACGAGTTTAATCTAATTCTTGGTCATGTTAAGAAGAGCTGATCCAATACCTTGAACCAATTACTTTTAACTCTGAGCAATATAGAATGCAAAAACAACTAAACTATATACCTATAAGTGGATGTACTTATTATAAACTTATTAACTCTAAATCCTAGATTTGTCTATGTCCCGCCACGTAGCTCCTTCCTGGCCCTAACCAGAAAACTTTTTTAAAAAAGAATTTCATTTCTTTTTAGAGCCCGTTTGAATTAGCTGATAAGCATTAGGTGCTGAAAAGCACTTTTAAGTGTTGAAACTGATTTAATAAATAAGCAGTTACATGTTTGGATACAAGTACTGAAATTGATAATAAGCTGCTGCAATATTTGAGAAAAAAGTGCTGATAAGCTCTTTTTCTGTTAAATGACTTAAATAGCCTTAGAACTGCTTACACTTATAACTAAGGGCATAATTTCTTCAAAATTGTAGATTCCACATCGATTCAAACACAAAATATTCTATTTGTCATTTTATTCTAAATACAATTGAGCTTAGATACGAAAACTTTTATGATAAATATATAATCATAAGTTATAATAATTAATAAATTGACAAAATTTTCTAAGTAAAAAATAAATCTAAATAAGTATTTGAAGAGAAAAAAATACCGTCTTTATCACCACAACACTAAGAAAGCAATGCACCAAAAATTTGATATGTCCTCATTTATTACATACAGTTCAAAGATTAATACACAATCACATAGATACAAATATGCAAAGGAATAGAGAATTTGTTTATCTTAAATAGTCAATGACAATTGCAGACTTGAAGGGGGGGGGGGGAGGGGGAGGAGGAGGAGGAGTTGAAAAAATACTTGAGGCAGTGAGTACCAATGTAAGAGTTTTGTTCTAAAAAAAATATTTTAAGAATAAAACGGTAAAAATCTTGGTCAAACTTAAAGTGCTTATAAGCTAAAAATTCATAAGCTTGGGGTGACCAGTTATGGCTTTTAGCTTATTTTTAACTTATAAGCACTTTTAACTTTACCAAACGCGTAAATAAGCCGAAAAGCGCTTGAGCTAGTTTGACCAGCTTATAAGCTTAGCCAAACACCCTCTTAGTCAATTTGCTAAGTGAAGCTCTGAGTGATAATGAAACAAAAAAAAAAAAAAACCCTAAAACATGGATTAAGAATTGCAACGTGTAGAGAAAAGACACCGCCTGACTTGCAGAAATAAAGATAAGCAGTTAAATCATTGACTTCATAGCCAAGATTCCAAGACCCCACGACCAAAAATAAGTGGTTACCTTTCTTATGAAAGGAAAAAACGAAGAAGAAATTCTTAGTCTAATATTCAATGCGTCATTACCCATTTAAAAGATTAGCGTTTCCATTGAAACAACTGTAGCGTTATAGACTGGACGGTATATAGTACAAATAAACATAGGTTCATACATACAAGTTACATAAATATGTAGGATAAAGTTTTGCATGGGGGATGGTAATTCACTAACTAATCACGATTCACAACCGATGAACAAAGGGATTAAATCTACAAGAAATGAATCATGAAATGAGGTTTGGGGGCTTAGTGTTGAAGTGAATGAAAACTAACCAAATCTAGAGTTCAAATACTATGCGACTTTTTTTCCTCTACCTAAGTTTTATAGGTAAAATTATTTAATATTTGCGTGGTATAGTATATAATAAATATATAGTGAGATAATCAAGATATGATCATATAACACCATCATGAAAAGAAAATTGTATGTATTTATATGGGTTGTGGGACCAAACAAAGGGCACTAACTACAAGAAACAAATCAAGAGATGAAGCAGAGGTTGAAGGTAAGTGCAGATGTGGGATTGGGACAAAGTAGAGAGCACTAAATGTGGAGGTAAATGTAGAAGAATATCATGAAAAATAACAGTTGGCTTAGAAGGTGACTTTTGATAACAGCCATGAAAACCATAAAGTGGGCTAGAAAGGTAATACTTACTCCAGTAGGGAGTAGGAGTACTAGAAAAGTAAAGATTTTGCTTGGGACCAAATTGGGAATGTGTACGAAAGGTGTACCTTTCCGTTAAAGAACAAAAACTGCCAGAAGGTATCATTGGGCTGTAGCTGTTATATGGGACAGGATAACACAATGTATTGAACCCCATTTATGTATTGCTACATTTTCTCCATAGAAATACTGCTCCGAAATCTGAAATATGTTAAGCATTAGTTATGAGGATGATGTTTTGAAACGAAAAATTGTGAAAAAGGCATAGAAATTTTAGAAAGAGATAGACCACACCTCTCTCTACTCTCTAATCAATCTGCATCCCAAATGGCCACATCCCCACTCCTGGCGGAGGACCCAAAAATCCCACCCGAACCACCGGACCCCCCTACGAAGTCACTTAAATTGAGATGGAAGAGGACACTCCTCAGAAAAACTCTTTCACAGAGATCCTACTGGAAAGGAACTTAATTTCTTCCACATCATATGAGCTAAACCACTCCCCACCCCCCTTCCTTCATTCGCATTAACCGCAGGGAATATCCCCATCCTTTTCACAAAGAAAAACAAGAACATGTTGTACCTCCCATGGAAACACTCCTTAATAATGAAACTATTTGGGGGAAAAATCCCCCACCAGTTGCCGCGAACAAAACATGTGCAACTATGGGAACCCATTGAACCCCTAACACTAATCGGTCTAGGGTGGAATTTTTTCATTGTCAAATTCAACCTTGAAGAAAAGCATGAACAAGGTTCTAACAGATCGGGACCTTGATTTGTGACGGGCCACTTCCTATCTATACGACGATGGAAACCTAACTTTGTTGCGGGGGAATCCAAATTAGCTATTACAACAATTTGGATTAAACTCCCACAACTACCAACAAAATTTTATGATAGAGCAATCCTAGAACAAGTGGGCAACATAATTGGCGAACTCCTGAAAATAGACACATGTACCTCCTCTACCCTAAGGGGGAAGTATGCTAGGATCCGTGTCAAAGTTCCACTCGACATCCCCGTCACCACCTCCGTTACCATCGTCACACATAATCAACCCATCACATATAAGGGGGAAGGGATACTCGACAAGGGAGGGATGCGGGAAACTGTTCGTTCCTCCTCAAGCCTAACGAAATAAATACTCTGATTGACCCAACAACTACCATCCCAAGTGACGGCACAGTCCTAGACGAAGAGTCCCTATGGCGGACAGCTCCACTCGCGCGGAAAAAAAGGACTACATAAGGGAAACCGTGCATAACGATCGGCCGGAGCAATAACGGAGCAGACCCCAACCCAGGTAAAATAGTACAGTGAAGACACATGTACGTTACTTGACCTGGTAGCCACCACCACTAACGGGAGCAGCCCTAAGGCCCAAAATCAATTTGACCCAGGTAACCAGTTAGGCTCTCTGGGGCGGGCTATGTGGAACCACAAAGATTTGAGACCAACTTGGGCCAATACTAACAAAGGCCCAATATTACATGCGGGCCAAGTCAAATCAATCGCCCCCCACACGCCGAAATTACTAGGCTGAAACGACATCTGCCTAAGTCAGGAACAATTCTAAAAGATGCAATTTTAGGGAATATTTCCGCCCCAAAAAATCCCTATCCAATTTACAAAAATGGAATTAAATATTCCCCCTGACTCCGGTCTCTCCAAATTGGGTACTCTTACACATAGAGAGTAACTCTTTTTTGGAAAAAGATTACTTGTTAATGCAACCCCGCCCCCAAAATGGCTTACACTACCCCGAAGGGACACAATATCGTGCCTACACCAGCACCACACATAATTCACCCCAAACTCTCCCGATCATGCCGCTTCCAGTAGAGGTAATCAAGTGTCTGTTACTAATCCAGTGCCCGATACTATCATTGAGGTGACAAGCCTTTTCAATCCCTTAAGATTGATTGCAGAGGGCAAATCGAATCACATGAAACCCAAAGAAGTAGAGAAGGATTATAACTGAGCATCTCCATCCTCCGTCATTACTCAAAACCAAACCAACAGTCTCCTCCAAGTTGACCCTTCCAATGGAAAACAACCCTCCCTACTCCCAAGCCCAAACCACAACCCCACTAACCATCTCCTCCATCCCACTTCCACCAGAGCTCATGTCAAAATCATGGTTGGAGATGGACCTCCAAGGACACACCCAAAACCTCCAAATGATGGTAGGGTCTGTTCCAATGGAAATAACCATCCAAAACACTCGATACATAGCTCACTTGGCGACCCAGCTTCTCCACCAGGGTTTGGAAAACACTAACTATGGATGTTTACACTACTCCAAGCCTAGTACACGGGGAACCAACATCCTCTATCAATGGAGGAAATCAACACCCTCATGGACCATCTTTGCCAGACCATGCCCCTTTTCCCCCTCATGAATCTAGAAGCTTCA